GTGTGATTCTGATGTTGAGATAGACCGTCCACGTGACCCATGGACCTCTCAGGGTTGTGGAACACCTTGAAACGCAGTTGAGACAGCTCCATCGCCCACCTTGCCAGTTTAGCGTTACTAGTACGGTTAGTCTCGTTGAAAACCCAGGTCAACGCCTTGTGATCGGTATACAGGTCGAATTCGCACCGGTCCAAATAGCAGCGGAACTTTCGAGAGGCCCAGACAATTCACCAGCATTCAATCTCCGAGGTGCCGTCCTCCTTGCGAATCCAGCTCTTCTCGGATCCTACTAGCAACTTAGAAGCGTACGCCACCACTCGCTCTCGCCCATCGACAGTCTGCATCAAGCACGCTCCAACTGCTAGCTTCACATACAGCTGGAAGCGTTTCGAGAAGTCAGGATACACTAGGATAGGAGGTTCCACCAGGCTTTGGATCGCGCGTCTGCGTTGCTGGTCGGCGCTCGGCTGGACGTGCAGAGCGTGAGCATGGCAGTTCCTCGTTGGAGCGACTTCGTGCTGCTGCACCGCGTGAAGAGCGATGGTGGATGGCAAGTGTCGGGCGAGTTGCAGTCGAGCGATGCGAGGTGGCTGAAGACTGCGGAGGTGGCTCTGGCGCCGCGCACGCCCAAGTCTCAGACCGTGACGGTGAGGACGAACGTGACACTGGTGGACGCGGTGTCGTCGCAATCTGTGGTTGTGAGGGTCTCTCACTTGGTCCGGAGCATGCCGGACCCTCGGTCTCTGGTGTCGACTGCACTGCTACAGCCGATCGTGGTGGAGAGCCGGGAGGACGAGGCTGCGTTGGTTTCGATGGCGGACTTGGGCGCGTTGGGCACGTCGCTGGACAGCTCTGCGGTGTGGTCGGAGTACTGGTCGGTAGACGTGGAAGTTCGCGGGCGCGACATGGACACGTCACTGAGCGCGTTGGTCTTCGACGGTGTGCAGGCCGATGTACGGACGCGCGCTGGCGGTAGGGTGTCGAATGTGTCGAATGTGGCTTTGTCAACGCTGGCGTCAAACGGATCGGACGGGTCGGCAGCAGGCTTGCTGCAGGTGTACCCGGTGGCGTCATTCTCGGGTGTATTCCGTGGTTCTTTGGTGCTGGTGTTCCGGGAGAAGCGGAATGCGGCGCAGCGGGTGGAAGTGGTGCGTCCGCTGGCGATCTCATGGCGGCGTCGCGACCTGGACCTGTCTGTGGCGCTGCGCTCGATGGTATTCGTGAACGAGACGGTATCGTTGCCGCCGAGGCAGTTAGTGTCTGTGTCTTTGGATCACGCGTCTGCGTTGCTGGTCGACGCTCGGCTGGACGTGCAGAGCGTGAGCATGGCAGTTCCTCGTTGGAGCGACTTCGTGCTGCTGCACCGCGTGAAGAGCGATGGTGGATGGCAAGTGTCGGGCGAGTTGCAGTCGAGCGATGCGAGGTGGCTGAAGACTGCGGAGGTGGTTCTGACGCCGCGCACGGCCAGGTCTCAGACCGTGACGGTGTGGACGAACGTGACACTGGTGGACGCGGTGTCGTTGCGATCCGTGGTGGTGAGGGTCTCTCACTTGGTCCGGAGCATGCCGGACCCTCGGTCTCTGGTGTCGACTGTGCTACAGCCGATCGTGGTGGAGAGCCGGGGGGACGAGGCTGCGTTGGTTTCGATGGCGGACTTGGGCGCGTTGGGCACGTCGCTGGACAGCTCTGCGGTGTGGTCGGAGTACTGGTCGGTAGACGTGGAAGCTCGCGGGCGCGGCATGGACACGTCACTGAGCGCGTTGTTCTTCTACGGTGTGCAGGCCGACGTACGGACGCGCGCTGGCGGTAGCGTGTCGAATGTGTCGGATGTGGCTTTTGTCAACGCTGGCGTCAAACGGGATCGGACGGGTCGGCAGCAGGCTTGCTGCAGGGTGTACCCCGGTGGCGGTCATTCTCCGGGTGTATTCCGTGGTTCTTTGGGGCTGGGGTTCCGGGAGAAGCGGAATTGCGCGCACGGGTGGAATTGGTGCGTC